TGCTGCTGCTGCTGATGATGATGATAACGATGAAAATGATGCTGATGGCGGTGTTGCTGCTTATGATGATGCTGCTGATGATGCCGATGATGATGCTGCTGATAATGATAATGATGCTTAGGGTGGTGGTGATGATGGTGGTGGTGGTCGTGATGAGGATGATGATGATAACGACGATGCTGCTGATGATGATGCTGCTGATGACGAGGATGATGAGGATAATGAGTGTGAGGAGGAGGATGAGGATGATGATGCTGACGATGATTATGGTGATGCTGTTGATGCTGAAGTTGGTGATACTGACGATGATGGTGATGCTGATGATTATAATGCTCATGGTGGTGGTGATGATGATGGTGGTGGTGATGATGACGACGATTATGCTGATGATTATGATGTTGATGATGATGCCGATGAGGATGATGATGGTGTGGATGATCATGATTATGCTGAGGATGATTATGATTATGATTATGATGATGCTGATGATGCTGATGATGCTGATGATGATGCTGATGCTGATGATGCTGCTGATGAGGTGATGGCGAGGGTGATGCTGATGATGCTGGTGCTGCTGCTGATGATGATGATGATGATGCTGATGATGAAGATGATGATGATAATGATGATGCTGATGATGATGATGATGATGATGATGATGATGATGATGATGATGATGTGGAAGAGGAGGAGGACACGGAGGAGGAGGAGGCGGAGGAGAAGGAGGAGGATTATCATGGTGGTGGTGGTTGTGACCATAATGAGGAGGCACAAGCGATCGGCGCAGGGGGGTCTAGCAGACGCAGAAGCGGGTACATGGGCGGATTCGGGGAAGAGGCCGTGCAGGAGGTGAGGCGAGAGATGACGCCAGAAGAGACGACAGGATGGCAGAGGCGTGTACCCGATGGAGAGGGGAAGAGGACGGTTGGAGGGATGAGTGCTGCATGTGGGGGGAGATGCAGATGAGAGGATGGAGGCGGGAAGGATGAGAGGGACCCTCAGAGGGAACGCGCGCAGAGTCGATGTTGATGGAGATGCTGAGGGATGTGGGTGTCATGGTAATGATGATGATGATGCTTATGATGAAGTTGATGATGCTGATGATGATGATGACGATGATGGCGCTGACGATGACGATGATGATGCTGCCGATGATAACGACTGTTGCAGATGATGATGGTGATGGTGTTGGTGATTGTGATGGTGATGGTGCTGATGATGCAGCTGATGATGATGACGCCGATGGTGGGGCTGCACTCATGGGCATGTTGATGGCGACGCCATGTGCAAGGGCTACGTCACGTGGACGACGATAAGGACGATGATGGTGCTGGTGGTGATGACGATGCAATCGTGGTGGTATTGATGGTGATGATGACGATGATAATTGAAATGACAACGACAACGATGACGACGGTCGTGGAGAGGTTAACAGTCATGATGATGGCAAGGGGGAACCGACGAGGAGGACTTGGGGGAGGGATCGAGGAGTGTGTCGATGCTAAGTGGTGAGTGCTGGGTAATGGCGGTGGCGACGGTAATCGTGATGAAGATGGCGATGCCGACTCCGATGTTGAAGGTGATTGTGTTGAGGTTGATGATGATTTTTCTGATGACGACGATTATGATGTTGATATCGATGTTGTTTATTTAGTGGGTGTTGATTGCGAACATGATGGTGATGCTGATGACGATGGTGATGCTGGTGATGCTGGTGATGTTGATCATGTCGATGATAATGGTGATGCTGTTGATGATGATGTTGAGTTGATGATGTTGAGTTGGTGGTGATGATGGTGATCGTGATGACGATGGTACTGGGGTTGGCGATGGTAGCGGTTATGATGATGAGTGTCGCGGTGACGATGAGGATGATGATTAGGATGAGGATGAGGATGACCATGCGGATGAGGATGATGAGGGTGATGATGATGTCAATGTTGTTGATGATTGCGACGATGCAGATGATAATGATGGTGGTGATGATTCTGATGATGATGATGATGATGATGATGGTGATGGTGATGGTGATGGTGTTGATGATGCTGGTGATGGTGATGTCGATGATGATGCCGATGATGGGGATGTAATCGTGGGCAGGCTGATGGCGACGCCATTCGTGAGGAAACTATCACGTGTACGACGATAAGGACGATGATGTTGGTGGTGATGACGATGCAATCGTGGTGGTCATGATGACGATGATAGTTTGGATGACAACGACGACGATGACGACGGTGGTGGAGAGGCGATGATGATGGCAAAGGGGGAACCGACGAGGAGGAGTTGAGGGGAGGGATCGAGGAGCGTGTCGATGCTAAGTGGTGAGTGCGTGGTGATGACGGTGGTGATGGTGATCGTGATGAAGATGGCGATGATGATTCCGATGTTGTCGCTGATATTGTTGAGGTTGATGATGATCTTGCTGATGAGGACGATACTGGTGCTGACTTTGATGACTCTGATACAGTGTATGTTGATTGTAATGCTGGTAATCCTAATGATCATGATGACGACGGCGATGCTGGTGATGATAATGATGGTGTTGCTGACGATCGTGATGCTGATGATGATGTTGACTTGATGATGTTGGGTTGGTGCTGGCGATGGTGATGGTGATCGTGACGGCGATGGTACTGGGGTTGGCGATGGTGATGGTGATGGTGATGTTGACGGCGACAGTGATGGTGATGGTGATGATGATGTTGTTGATGATGAGGAGGATGATGATGATGATGAGGATGAATCTCAGGATGAGGATGACAAGGATGATGATAACGATGATGATGCTGCTGTTGATGCTGTTGATGATGATGGTAATGCGGGTGGTGATGATGATGGTGATGCTGGTGATGGTAGCGAAGATGCTGCTTATGATGCTGATGCTGCTGATGATGAGATGTTGCTGATCCTGATGGTGATGATGCTGATGATGTTGATGATGATGATACGGATGACGATTAACTACAGTGGGAAGGTGTTCCAGGAGCTAGAGTGGCTGGGGGAATGATGATGAGCAAGAGGGGAGGACAAGAGAGGGGTTGAGAAGTAGGAGGAGGAGGAGGAGGAGGAGGAAGAGGCGGATGAGGCATATGTGGAAGAATACGGCCAGGGAAGATGAGGGAGGAGGATGAGGGACAGGGAGGGCCTTTGTCGTAGCCCCGTTCAGAATCAGTCCCCTGACCTCTCCCAGAGTCCATCTGTGGTTAGTTCCCCAATCAGTGCTTGCACTGAAGTGGCCATAGCGGAAATTGAAAGATTGGGCGAACGTGTCCCGCCGATTTTGGTGGGTCGCCGGGTGGGTTTCCGGGTTCCCAGTTCCGAGTTCCCGGGTCTCTGGTTATAGGTTCTGGGCCGATTTCGGTGGGTTCGGGATTCCCGGGTTCCTAGGTTCCCGGTCGATTTCCTTATCGATCTTTTTATCGATCCCATTTCAAACCATCCACTTATTAGGTTTTTATCTGGTGTATGTAATTTTCCACCCTGGATTGATTTTGACGGCAGTGGGCCCGAAACGACTCCCCGTAGTGCGAAACCGTCCTCGACCCTGGATTCTCGAACGTCGATCCCCGAACCTCTCTATCTCAGGTCGCGATGCTGTACACCAACGCGGAGGGCGACCTGGCCAAGCTCGCGGAAACAACTGGCACAGCTGCCGCTCCGCCCGGCGCGCGATGTGCGCGCGGTGCCGAAACTGGGCCGCCTGCGGCTTGATGGGGCCGGCCCCCTCGTCCCCGAAGCCCTGCCTCAGCACGATGGCAATGGGCACGGAAGCAATGGAGATCCAGCGGTTCTGGGACGTCTTCGGGAGATGCTTTCGGACCTGCTCGCTGGTCATCGGCTGTCCTCCAGCCTCGGGGTGCTCCCCAGCAGCTGCGCCTCGTCGAGAGCGTTCCGTGCATGCCCTGATCGTCCCGAGCCGCCACCAGAGGCCCGAGTTGGATGACCCGAAGTCAAAACTCGGCGCCGACCCTGAGATCCTGGCGACGCCTTTTTTCCCCCACGGGTGCTAGTGACTTTTGGTTCGGGCCCCAGCGCCGGCTCCAGACTTGCCGCAGGAAGGTGGGGCTTACAGGTCTCCCGCTCAGAGTTGTTACCGCGGTGCTTGTTTTTGTTCTCGGAACGTCGGATCTCAGGTGAAGTTGGAGGGGGAGGGGGTCCTCCTCCTCCTCCTCCTCCTCCTCCTCCTCCTCCTCCTCCTCCTCCTCTCCGTCCTCCTCCTCCTCTTGCTCCTCCTCCTTCCCCCCTCCAACTTATGGTGGTGGTGGTGGTGGAAAGCAGGCCCATCATCAGGGTAGGGCCGAAGGGAGGTCCTGCCCATTTCGAACAGGGCTCGCTGCCGGGGTGCCGGTGCGGGCGGTGTCCGCTGGGGGCAAAAAAGGTTGCCTCTGCCAGCGGTGGCCGCTGCTTTTCGCTTTGGACAGCGTCGGCAGCTGGCTCGTCGCACCGTCGGGCCGAAGTATCAGATCGCGGTCGCTTCGGGGAGGGTACGAGGTTCGATGTTCGAGGTGTTCGCACGTTTGTTTTATTTCTCGGCGGTTTTCCAACCTCGGAGTGCTTGCTAGCAGCTGCGCCTCGCTGAAGGCGTTCTGGGGGTGCGGGGACCGTCCCGATTGGCCACCAGAGAGCCGAGTTAGGACCGAAAAAACACCAGGCGTCCGCTGGACCGAGGCATGAGATCGATGCCGGTTCGGGGATGGTAAGAAGATCGATGCCGGACCTAGGTATAGGATCGATGCCGATGTCGTTACCCTCATGTTCTTCGCGTTTGCTGGATGTTCTTGTGCTGCTGGATGTTCTTGTGCATCCTGGGGAGTGTACTCTCGGGTGTTCTCTGTGTGTGGTCGACGGAAGGCCTCGTGTGTTCTTGAGGGGTGCTCTTCTGGCCTGTGTCCGACTCCTACCTCTTTTGTCCGCACACGTGTGATACACTAGCAAGTGGTATAACACACAAGTGCTACACAACCAATGTGTCACACACAACAAGTGGAATAACACAACATGTTTGTTTTTTTACACCGTTTCTTTTGTGTGTGTATTGTGTTACCATACTTGTTTTTACCACACTCATGCTTTATCACACTTGTTTCTTTCATCACATTTGTTGTTTCTCACACCTGCTGTGGCCGGAGCACAGATCCGCATCAGCGGCCTCGCTGGCCGGGCCCCTGGGCCGCGACCCGGGTGCGGGTTGTTTCTTTCTCGGATGCCCCGCGCGGATTTCCTCTGTGCGACCGCTCGGCGACGTCCGAACCCAGCCCTCGCCGGGCAACGGCTCTGGCAGCTCGACCGGCGGCGGGGGTGGGGCTCGGAATTCGTCGAGCACGTGGCAAGATCCGAGCCCTACCCCCGCCTCCCATCGACTCAGGAGAATCGATGGATGGTGGGGGATCAGGGGTTGGATGCTGCCACCTAACCGCGTATCCGCGGGATCGCGCCCCTCGTGGGCGGAAAATATAGCCTCCCTTTCCACCTCCCACTCCTCTCCCTCGCCCTCCTCCCCCTCCTCCTTACCCCTCCCCCCCCCCCCTCCTCCTCCTCCTCCTCTCCTCCTCCTCCTCCTCCTCCTCCTCCTCCTCCCCCTCCTCCCCTCCTCCTCCTCCTCCTCCTCCTCCTCCTCCTCCTCCTCCTCCTCCTCCTCCTCCTCCTCCCCCTCCCATAAGGAACAAGCACGCCTCGTGGGACCATCAGGGGCCTCTCTTGGAGCGCTCACAGGGGGAGTCGTGGGCGGAAAACGTTCTGTATCCGAGGCCTCGTGGGCAGGGCCCTTGGGCCGCGGCCCCAGCAGATACGGGGCATCATTCTGCTGTTTGTCGGACCGCGTATCCGCGGGATCGCGAGGAGGAGGAGGAGGAGGAGGAGGAGGGAGAGGAGAGGGAGGAGGGAGGGAGGGAGGGAGGGAGGGAGGGAGGAGGAGGAGGAGGAGGAGGAGGAGGCGGAGGAGGAGAGGAGGCGGAGGAGCGGAGGAGGATGAGGAGGAGGAGGAGAAGAGGAGAAGAGAAGAAGAGGAGAAGAGGAGAAGAGGAGAAGAGGAGAAAGAGGAGAAGAGGAGAGAGGAGAAGAGGAGAGAGAGGAGAAGAGAGAGAAGAAGAGGAGAAGATAATACGATCATAGGAGGAGGAGAGGAGGAGGAGGAGAGGAGGAGGAGAGGAGGAGGAGAAGATGAGGAGGAGGGGAGGGGAGGGGGAGGGGGAGGGGGAGGGGAGGGGGAGGGGGGAGGAGGAGGAGGAGGAGGAGGAGGAGGAGGAGGAGGAGGAGGAGGAGGAGGAGGAGGAGGAGGAGGGGCGCACCCCGGTCCTTGCCCCTTTCTTGGACGTTCCCGAGGACAGTTCTGACGAAGCCAGAGCCGCTGCCAGAGGAAACGCACAGACGCACACGTCGGCGGCAAGCGAGGGGGGGGAAGTGAGAAGGAGCCCTCTCAGAAGGCGGCGGGACTTCTCAGACTTCTCAGAAGCCCTCGCGCCGGCGGGACTTCTCGGAAGGCGGCGGGACTTCTCAGGAGCCCTCGCGCCTTCTGAGAAGTCTGTGCCTTCGGAGGTCTGCACCGCCTGCACCTCCGCCAGCTGCGCGCGGAGGAGGTGCTCCGGCAGGCCCTGGGCGGCCCAGCGGGGCACGGCGCCGGCCTCTCGGAGCCCGAGGCCTGCGGCCACGTCGTCTTGCAGGGTCTGCCCGGACGCTCGCGATGCCTCTGTGACCCTGCCCGTGGCCCTGGCGCCACCTCCTGGGCCTGCGGCCAGCGCTTCCCAGCCGTCGTCCTGGCGCTGGGTCAGCTTGCATCCCAACGCACGGAGCTCCTCCTCCTCCTCCTGCTCCTCCTCCTCCTCCTCCTCTTCCTCCCAACTCCTCTTCCTGCTCCATCCTCCTCCTCTTCCTCATGCATCTCCTCCGCCCCCTCCTCCGCCGCCTCCTCCTTCTCGGAGCTGCCGCTGTCTCGACTCGCCCTGCTCCGAGGCACCCTCTGTGCCTCGAGCTCTGCGTGCGCGCTGCAGCTTCGGCGGGCTTCGTCTGTCCCCAGGGTTGGCGCTTCTGTTTCCCGTGTGCTTGCCGCGGCCGCGGACGGGACGTGGGTTCGAGGAGTCCGGCATGGATTTGACACTGACTCGACGTGGATCGCGAAGAGACGCGACAGACGAGGATGCGGGCGAGAACTTCATCTACACCTTAGGCGATGCTGAAGAAAACCCAAGGTTTCGGCCAGAGTCTCGATTATTCTTAATGTTTCAATGTAGATCCTAAGATTTGAATAGACATTCTGGATTTTTATTCAACTTCTGAGACTATGAATTTCTTAATCCATGATTTCTAAAGCATTTCGCAGGGTGTACGTCCAGTGCGTCTGAGACCTCCTTGGACGGAGCGCCACCAGGCCGAGGCGCGCTGGATCTATAGGTAAGCATGGGGCCTCCGGGGGGCAGAGTCGTCCATCTCCAGTGCACTCGGTCGGGGAAGTTGGGGCGTGCGCCGCTCACCTCCCGTTGCTTGGCACGGCCCCCTGCTCGCCCTTGTGCCCCTCGGGGCCTCCCCCGTCGTTGCTGCTTGCGGATGCATCGACACGCACCAGATCGGCACTGTCGGCGGTGCGACGTCAGGACCTCTGTGCTTCGGGGTGAGCGTTGCGAGGGCGCCCTCTTGCGGCAGAGGCTCCGCAGCCCAGTATTGCAGCCAGCTCTTCGGGTTTCTGGTGCGGGGAACCCGCAGTTCAAGCTGCAGAGGATGTGGACAAGAGTGCCCCCCGCAAAGGACAAGGCCCCCCGAAAGGGCAAGCCAACAAACATCTGCCTCTCTGGCACTGCGCCGCGCTCTTTGCTGGCCTGGCCTGGCCTGGCCTGGCCTGGCCTGGCCTGGCCTGGCCTGCGATGCCCCTCCGTCACCGGCGGCGCGCCGGCCTCGGAGGCCTAGAGGTTGACACCAGCGCCGACGTCGGCGGGGTGCCTCCACCGAGGGCTGATGATCCTGGCCTCGGTGGTGGTAGTCACATTTTCCAGCCGACCCGCAGGGTAAGGATGGGCATCCTTCCCAAGGGTGCCCTTGCATCCTTGCCCCTTCGGCCCATCCTTGGACAATGTCGCTGGGCGCGCCCCGTTCGGAAGGCTTCGAGCGTCCAAGGCCCTTGCATCCTCATCGCGCATGCTTCTGATAGGGGCTGACTGTGAGATTCGTGCCACCCACGTGGCCGAGCTATTAATAACACCAACGCCAGAGTCTAGAATCAGCTTCCCTTGGTGGAGGCAGCCGCCCTGTTTTTCGAAGAAGCAGAAACAACATAACGGCATATGCATAAACGTTAGGCGCTCCGCGCGGATTTCCTGGATCCGCGCTGGGCTCCCCTGACGGCGCGTCTGGCGCCGCCCCTGGCGCGCTCCGCGCGCCAGGGAGGGGATGCCTCAGTATCATTTCACCGACCCCCATCCCGTCTTCATCCCCTTCGAGACCCCCACCACATTACCACCCCAGTCGGGGATACACCTTCGAAACCTGAAGGGGACGGCCTATACCCCCATCTAGGGGGGTAGATCGGCCAGTGGGGTCCAGGCCACGCCGCTGGGGACAGATCGAAGAAGTCCGCGTGGAGCGCCACACGCTCATGTGCCTGGCGCCTTCTCTTCTTCTAGTCTTGGCGCCAGTGCCCCGTTTCCAAGCCTCCGACGGCCGCCCTCCTCCTCCTCCTCCTCGCTCCTCCTCCCCCTCCTCCTCCTCCTCCTCCTCCTCCTCCTCCTCCTCCTTCTCCTCCTCCCCCTCCTCCTCCTCCTCCTTCTCCCCCTCCTCTCCCCCGTCCTCCCCCTGTGGCTTCGGTGCCCGTGCCCCGCTGTCAGGGCCTCGGGCCGCCGCCGCCCTCGCGCCTGCCCCTGCCGCGCGCGCCCCGGGCGGCGCGTGCAGGTGGAGCTGCTGCGGGCCCGCCCGCCTGCCGACGCCGTCGACTTCGCGCGGAAGCTGCTGAACGGCGACTACTCGGCGCGCTCCCCACGACGACGACGAAGACGAGGAGGAGGAGGACGACGACGACGAGGACGACGACGAGGAGGAGGAGGAAGACGACGAGGACGACGACGACGAGGAGGAGGACGACGATGACGACGAGGAGGAGGAGGAGGAGGGGGAGGGGGACGAGGACGAGGACGAGGGCGACGAGGACGAGGAGGCGTCGGATGGGAGCCGGCCGTCCATGTCTCCCTGCGCTGTTTTTGCCTCTCTTCCTCTCGTCGTTCTCTCTCTCTCTCTCTTCCCTCTCGCCATCTCGCTCTCTCGCTCTCTCCTGTCCGTCCGCACGTTCTCTTGCGAGGTCATGGACGCTCGTTTCCTCCGTAGCACCATCTATGATGTTTTTGTTGCATCCCACTTCTCCTCTATCCCGTGCCTTCGCTGCTTGCTGATGCGCGGTTGATGGGCCTGTTTCCCACCACCACCACAACCACCATAAGCTTGAGGAAGGAAGGAGGAGGAGGACGAGGAGGAGAAGGGAAAGGAAAGGAGGAGGAAGAGGTGCCGTAGGAGGAGGAGGAGGAGGAGGAGGAGGAGGAGGAGGAGGAGGAAGAGGAGGAGAAAGAGGAGGAGAAGGAGGAGGAGGAGGAGGAGGAGGAGGAGGAGGACCCCCTTCCCCTCCAACTTGTCGTGGCAGTGAGGGAAAACAAGCCCCTCAACGGTGTCTGCTGGGAATGTCGTTCTCCTGCGGCTCGGCGCGGGTCGATCGCGCCCGCCGTGCCCGTGCTTCGGGCAGCGAAGCCGGGGGGCGCCCAGCCGGGTCGGCGCGCGCTCGCGGTGTCGGTGCTTCTGTTCGCCGCCAGCAGGGAGTGCCGGGAGTCTCGCATGGAAGGCACCTGCGACGGCAGGCATGGGCCGACCGGGCGTGAAGAGAGGAGGAGGAGGAGGAGGAGGAGGAGGAGGAGGAGGACAGCAGGGAGGAGGAGTAGGGAGCAGAGGAAAAAGGAAAATGGACGAGAGAGAGGGAAGAGAAACCCGCTGCCGTCGTCGTCTTCGTCGTCGTCGTCGTCGTCGTTGTCGTCGGCGGTCGGTCGGGGGGTGGGGCGGGCGACGGCCGCACGCCCGCCCCCCGCGCCCCGCAGGCTGCAGCACCGACATGCCAGGAGGACTTCCGCAAGCAGCTCCTGGAGGGATCCAGGACGGCGGCCGCCCCTCCTCCTCCCTCCGCCTCCTCCCCTCGCCTCCTCCTCCTCCTCCTCCTCCTCCTCCCTCCTCCTCCTCCTCCTCCTTCCTCCTCCTCCTCTCCTCCTCCTCCTCCTCTCCCCCTCCCCCTCCCCCTCCCCCCCCAGCCTCCCCCTCCTCCGCCCCCCCTCCTTCCCCCTCCTCCCCCGCCTCCTCCTCCTCCCCCTCCTCATCCTCCTAACTCCTCCTCCTCACCTTCTTCTCCCCCCCCCTCCTCCTCCGGTGTCTGGGTTGCACCCTATATGTTTGATTGTGCGCATGCGCCAATAAGCAGCTTTAGACATGCACATGCGCTTGTTTGATTTGCTGTATGTCACCCCCTTTCTCTCTATCCTCTCTCTCTCTCTCTCTCTGGAATGCAGTCGCTGGGGAGGCTGCTGTGGTGAGGCCGTGGAGGTCAAGCACGCTCTTCTTCTCTCTGCCTGCACATTTCGCTCCCTCGCTCCTCCTCCCTTTCCTCCCCTCCTCTCCTCCTCCTCCTCCTCCTCCTCCTCCTCCTCCTCCTCCTCCTCATCCTCCTCTTTCTCCTCCTCTTCCCCTCCTCTTTCTCCTCCTCCCATCCTCCTCCTCCGCTCCTCCTCCCCCGCCTCCTCCTCCTCCTCCTCCTCCCCCTCCTCCTCCTCTCCCTCTTCCTTCTCTTCCTCCCCCTCCTCCTCCGCCTCCTCCTCCTCCTCCTGTCTCGTCCAGAATGTGGTGCGTTCCGAACCTGCTGGGTGGGCCTTTGAAACAAATGTGGTGCGCTCCGAACCTGCAGGCTGGGCCGCTTTAAGCGGGGCCCGTGCTCAGGGGAGGCCGCACCAGTGCTCCACGATGTGGTGCGTTTTCCGAACCCGCAGGGTAGAACCTTTCCATCCTCTGTGCGCTTCGGTTTTTGCTCCGGCTTCAGCTGTTGGTGCACTGCGAGGCGCCTTCGGGCCAGCTCACCCGAGTCGGTGTTCCGCTCACGCGGGGGCCTCTCTTTCCGGGAGGCAAAACCACCGGGCCCGGACAATGTGTGTTCACTAAGCGGCCCTGGGCCTTTGCTGAACAGCCCTGCCCTGTTCGATTCCTTCTGTGGGCGCGTTTATGAAGCGGCTTCACGTGTCGAGGCGGGTCTTGTCGGGGTGGATTTTGTGCCCTCGTCCTCCTCCTGTCTCGCCGTCAGTTGCCTCGCCCTCTCCTCCTCGCCCCATCGCCCCGCCCCTCCGAGGCTCCGAAGCTCAAGAAGACGGAGGTGAAGGACCGCCGAGCTTTTGCTGGCACTTGCGCGTCAAGTCGGGCACGTCCCTCTACAGGAGGAATAGTCAAAAATACTGAACACATAGTCTGGAAACGATGTTTTACAATGTTCGTTTTTTGTTTGTTGTTTCACATTTTGGGGCTAATTCTTGTTTCGCCCAAAATCCGCCTGTAGGGGAACATACCCGACCTCACACTTGCGGTGGGCTCAGGCAGCAGAACCCGTTTCTCTCCGATCGGTCCGATCCGATATCGATTCGGGGCGGCCCGATACGATTCGATCCGATATCGGCCCGATTCGGGACGGTCCGATTCGAGATCGATTCGGGACACTCTGACGACCCGATGCGGCGACCAGTGCTGCCCGATGCCTGCACGCCGCTGTGGATGCCGACTCCGTGCCGGTGCGCCCCGACCCGACGCGCACGCCGGTGCGAGCCGAGTTCTCGCTCGGATGCCGGCTGATCCTGCACCTTCTCGCTCGGATGCAGGTCGAGCCGAATCCTCGCTCGAGGAGGAAGAGGTGCCCATACCTCTACCCGCCCCTCGTTTTCCCCTGTTTGGGCCTCCTGGGCCTCCGTCGTCGCCACCGCTGGAGTCTTCTCGAAATCCTGGTCAGAGCGCACCCCAGGAGAGGTCTGGGGAGTAGCCGTATCGGTGCCTTTTAGTGTTCCCAGAATTGAAAGGGCCATCGCTCGAGGAACAACAAATGACATTCGGTAGCAAAACATGGGATCCTAGTATACCCTCGTAGTTCCGTCTTTGGCGTCGATTCGCGTCGATGAGATAGCGCCAATTTAGCGGCGGTTAGCGTCGGTTAGAGTCGATTCAGCGTCGATTGGCGTCGACTGCGTCGATTAGCGTCGAATCACGAGAGCTGACAAGATGATATGGGAGGCTCCCACGAGTTGCCATCGATAATGGCATACAGTCGGACCGAGGCACAAGATCGAGGCTGGTTCGGGGAGAGTGCCCAGATGTTTTCGTAATTGTTGGATGTTCTTGTGTATACTGGGGAGGGCACCCTTGGATGTTCTGTCTGTTTGGAATGTTTTTTCTGGCCTAGTTCCGACTGTAAGCATAAACTTTCGGAGGTCCGCGCAGATTTCTTGGATCTGCGCTGGACCCCCCTCCCTGGCAAGCAGAACGCGCCAGGGGCGGCGGCAGAGGCGCCGCCAGGGGGGGGCCGGCTCAGATCCAAGGAATCCATGCGGAGCGCCAAAAGTTTGTGTTTATGTCGTTGTTTCTTCTTCGAGGGGGGGGGAGGTTGGGGGAGGGACGGGGGCGGGAGGAGGGAGGAGGAAGGTGGGGGGGAGAAAGGAAGAAGGGGGGAGGGAGGGGAGGGAGGGAGAGGGGACCTCCCCCAAAGTCTTGGTTTCTGTGATCTGTTGTGCCCCTCGAGCGAGGAGGAGGAGGAGCTCCTCCTCCTCCTGGAACGGGTGATGGTGAGTGATGATGAGGACCATGCCAATATAGTGAAGGATTGCGATGGCGGCGGTGACGAGTATGAGGGTGATGGTGATGATGGTGGTGATTATAATGATAGTGTGTTGATGATGATGCTGATGCTGATGCTTGTGATGATGCTGCTGATGATGCTGATGCTAGTGATGATGGTGTTGATGATGATGCTGCTGCTTCTCATGATGATGGTGATGATGATGGTGATGGCGATGGTGATTGTGATGGCTGGTGATTGATGATAATGATGATGATGATGATGATGAGGATGATGATGATGATGATGATGATGATGATGATGCAGGTGATAGTGATGGTGATGTTGATGATGCAGACGATGATGATGGTGGTGGTCGCGCTGCTGGTGATGGTGATGGTGATGGTGGTGGTGATGATGAAGGTGATTACTATGACGATGGTGACGATCATGCTGATGGTGATGATGATGGTGATGCTCCTGCTGAGGACGATGCCAATATAATGAAGGATTGCGATTGTGGCGGTGACGAGTATGAGGGTGATGGTGATGATCGCGGTGACGATGGTAATAGAAGTGTTTCTGATGATGGTGTTGATGTTAATGATGCTGCTGAATGTGCTGCTGATACTGGTGATAGTGATGATGGCGATGCTGGTGCTGATGATGATGCTGCTGCTGATTATGGTGATGATGATGGCGATGGTGATGGTGATGGTTGATGATTGATGGGATCGATGAGAATGATTGTGATGGTGATGGTGATGATGCTGACGATGTTGATGGTGGTGGTGGTGATGGTGATGGTGATGGTGATGGTGATGATGAGAGTGATGACTGATGATGGTGATGGTGATGATGATGATGATGATGATGATGATGATGATGATGATGATGATACTGATAACGATGATGGTGATTCTGATGATGGTGGTGATATCCGTAAGGGCTTCGCCCCCTGCCGCCGGCCCTCCCTCGGAGAATGGGCCATGGAAGAGCTAAGTCATGAGGTCTTGGCGCTGTCGTGAAGCAGTATCGAAACTTCATGCGAAGCCGATTCGCAATCAGCAAAACCAACTGATCACAAGAGGGGTTACCACACCTGGCGATTGGTAAGACGTGTATGGTTTACGGGC